GCGAGGGAGAGAGCTCGGGGTTCGCACAAATCGCCCTTCGTTCTTGTAGATGGGGAAGGGTGAGGTCCAAGGCTTATGTTTAGGGAGAGCTAATTAAGCGAAAGAGCTAATAAAGGAAGGATTGTGGGCTTAAATATAATATTTAAACGGATGTGGCTAATTAAAGAAAGGATTATGGGTAAATCGGTGGAATAACTATTAGAAAAATTGCGGTCTTAATAAATTCTACATTAAGGGTTTGAGGTAAAAAGGTAGGATAATTAAAAGAAACGATCTATAGGCCTTAATGTGTTGGGGCTACTAAATTAGAAAAGAAAGGATTTGATTCCCGACTAAAACGGGTGAGGACTTCATGGTAATTAATGAAAGGATCATACTTAAATGCCATTAAAAAGAATTGTATTTAAATGAAATCAGTGGGACATTACACCCCGCAAAGAAAATATGAACACGACTAAATTGCAATGTATTTTTTTATGTTCATTTTGTAGAAGGACGATGCTGCCTTGCAACATGTTCTTCATAATGAATCCGATGCTGTGAGACATTATGCTTGTGCAAAACATCAATTTTCTCCGTTGCAATGCACGGGCATATGTGCTAGTGAGAGCAAAATCAATAAGGATACATTAGTTCATACATACGTCCTGATGATTGAGGAACCAGCATTCTTTTTTTCCTAAGAAACACAATACAGATACAAACACTCATATACACATATACACGCATATACATTCACTAGTATGAACATAGGCACGCACACTGTACGGCCATTCATTGGATTATGTACATATATACCCATAAAAATTTGAAGTTGAGAACTATGTATGGAAAATATCATCTAAGCTCACCGCCGCCCCTAGGAGCACTTCCTTCCACCGCCATCCTCCGGCGGCTCCCCTCCACCTTGGTCAACGGTGGTGAGGGGGGTCGCCGGATTCACGTGTGTGGATCATTTTAGCCTTTAGTACCTTAAGTTTTGGGTTGTTCATCGTCTTGGTTTCGGTGCGGTGATGCGCTGAATAAAGATTCTTTAGATCCTACCCTGACGAGGTGATCAGTGCTATGGTTGGGGATGGATTTGAAAATCAGTCTATTCAGGCAAGGATGGTGCAGAGACGACGGCATCCTTGACGTGGACCTATGTCCTTGGGCTCCACCATTTGCGACGGCGTCTGCTCCAGCGCCGATGCGGAGCTTGAGGGGTAGTCCAGAAGCGGATGGATTGTGGTCTGCATCGGCAGCATCTGTAACATGTGGATCGTGTGCTAGGTTTCGGCTCGTGGACGGCAGGTATGGTTTCCTCCTCCGACGTCTTAGTCATGTGGTGGCGCCATCGAACGGTAATTGTTTCGCCCTTGGCGAGCCACCTTGAAGCTTCGCAAAACTGCATATCAGCTATGTAAACACATCAAGCTCTGGTGTAGAGGTGATCAGTCATTTTTTTTCCTTTGATGGCTGCTGTGGTGGTGTTCCAATATGGACCACACACAGAGCAAAATGAGTGAATCTACACTATAAATATGTTTATATACACCCCATGTAGTCTATATTGAAAGCTCAAAGGATTCTTTTGGTCTTATTTCTAATTTTACTTCTTAGTCTGTGCTTCTTTGTGTAAAGGCTAACCTTCTATCCTACTCGCATGCAACATGCATACATTTACTCTCTCTGTTTCTTATTCTCCACGTCTTACGGTAGCAATAATCGTACACATCCACGGATGTTTTACAGGTGTTTTGCCGATCTTTCCCGAATATGGGCATGCCTAACCAGTTAGGGCATGTACAATGATGCTATTTTAGGAGTGTTATGTAGGATAAATGATGAGGTGGAGGAGAGAGAACTTATAAGAAAAGGCTTGTCTTCTCTTATTTAAAATAAGATAAGAGAAGATATCTTAGCACAATATGTGTCACCATGTTTTTAGAAATAACTAATTATGAAGATAAGACTAAAAAATGATCCATTGTAGACATTTTTTTTATCATCTCTCAATTACATGTAAGACCTAAGATAAAACTATCTTATCAACCATTGTACATGCCCTTAGGCGCACAACTCTAATCTGCACCGCACATCGATCATACACATCACATCCCGGGCCGCTCGCGCGGGCGGCTCCGGAGGAAAAAACCTAGATCCAAGCGCCCCTCCTCCGGGAGACTTCCTGGCCGCCGCCGCCGCCACCGGCAGCGGCGGTGATGGCGGCGCCCGGCCACCAAAGGTGGCGGGCAAGATCTGCACGCCCTGGCATGGCTCCTTCGCGCGGGGAGCACCGTCTTGCGGGCGTCGCGGCGGCTGGCGGTTTTGGTGCGGTGGCCCGTGGCGGAGAGCACTGGAGGAGGAGGAGCACGGTCGCGAGGTGGAGAGGGGCGGCGGTCTTCCTCGGGCGCCGGCGTGTGTGTCGGAGGCCGCGGCGCGGGGTCCCTGGCGGCTGCAGATCTCGGAATGGAGCGGTGACCGGGCGCGGCGGCCGGGAGTCGCAGTGCTGTCCGGGGCGTGCGGTTTGCTTCCTGTCGGCTCCCGAGTGGCTCGGGGAAGGCAGCGCCTTGGATTGCTGGTGGTGGCGCGGTCAGGATATGGCCGGAGCTCAGCTCAGGAAATCGCAAAGGGAGCGCCTTGGTGGGTGCGTGCGTTCGCTGGAGGCGCAGCGCGCTGGCTCCTCCCGTGCGTGCCCCTGGTCGCAGCGGCTTGGCTGGCTGCCGGAGTGGTTTGGCCAACCCACGCCTGTGGTGCCGGCGGGTCTTGGCAGCGCCAGGGAGGGTGGCTTGGAGCTGGTGACGTTTGTCTTTCGACCGTGCAGGAGCTGGAGGTTGGCCGGTGTGCTTTCGGCTGTGTGATGGGTCGGTGTTCCGCGACGGTTTTGGCCATGATGGCAAGGCGCTGCTGCAACGGTGGTGTAACCCTGACAGATTATCCCAATCCTTGGATAGGGGTGGGAGGTGTGCGACTGTTGGATGAAAATCTTGCTCGCGTCTTCGGCCGGAGCTGGCGGCGACGGCGCCTGTGGGTGTCGTTTCCTTCCTTGGAGACGTCGCTGAGGTGTGTCGGCATCTCCCCTTCTTGATCGAGGTGTGGTCTCCGGGCGAAAGCCTTGGTCCATTGTAGGACTGGCGATGGCGACGGTGTGACGTCGTTACTCTGTTGAGAGCATCGTAGGAGGAGACTTGGCTAGCTGATTCTGTCTGGTGGTTCTCCGGTGCTTGCCGCTGGTTCGATTTGATCTTCGTGGGCGCTATGTACGCAGCTGCCGGTGAATTGAAGACGATGGCTTTCTCGAGGCCGACCGAGTCTTTCTACCCACGCGTCGTCTCCTCTTAGGCACTCAATGGTGGTAGTGCGTTGGCAAGGAAAATCCGGTTGGAGTTGTTGTTCTTCGAGGTGACCGGTGTTTGTGGTGACGCGGCTAGATGATTGGTTTAGGGCAGGCCCTTTTGCTTGTGTTTGTAATTGTCGTGGTGGCTAATCTGTTGATTAGCTTCGATGTGGAGTTGTGCTACACTTGTTGTTCGCAGCAAGATATAGTTTCTTATACTTGATTTCTGCCTTCTATAAAAATATGGTACGCCTAGGCGTACTCTCAAAAAAAATTCAGCATGTCTACTCTCTCTCTCTCTCTTCTCTCTTCTCTCTCCCAAATAACTCCATCCCTTTTATGGAGTACACTTCACGGCAATATTCCGTGTCGTGTTAACTTAACTAATAGACATGTGAAAGTCTCGCCTAAGTCACAAAACATTTGTTGTTTCTATGTGACAGAGCAAAAGAAGTCTGGAGAAGACTAGGGATGGACGATATTGTCGACAGAGTTTGTAAAATAGACTATGCGGGTGAGGCAATCTTGGAATATTTACTTTCATTACTAGATCAGGAACTATGTATTATGGGCACTCGTAATGTGCGTGACATGATTGCCATATCAGCCTCGTACTTGTGGTGGGAAAGGTGCAAATTGGTACACAATGAGACTACTCAGAATGCACAACAGATATCCATGGGGATACGCGCTCTCGCTGCCAATTTTGTTAATGCCTCCTCGCCGAAGGCTTCCATGAAAAGAGGAGGATGGTCTAACCCTCCGACGGGATTTGTTAAACTTAACGTTGATGCTTCTTTTGACCTAGACCTTCTCAGGGGTACGATCGGGGTTGTCTTAAGAGATGACAAAGGTAGGTTCATCGGTGGGGGAAATGGTAAGATTGACTGGTGTGCAGATGTGTTGATAGCTGAAGCTTTGGTGTTAAAATTTGGCCTATCGCTTGCGCAAAGGACGGCTTGTAATCGCATAATTATTAACCCGGATAATATGGAGGTGATCGAGACCATGAACGAAGGAGGACGATCGTCGGGGGCAGCAACTGCAATTTTTTATGACTGTTTTCACTTAGCTTGCGATTTTTCTATTTCTAGATTCGAGCATTGTAATAGAGAGGCAAATAAAGTTGCTTATGAACTTGCCAAGTTGGCTAGATTTTCATTCATTTCTGATTGGTTTAAGTAACCACATAATGCAATTGTACCAATCCTCATAAACGATGTAATGATTATTTCTAATGAATAAAGCTCGAACTTTCTTTCAAAAAAACTCCATCCCTTTTATTCAACTTTTTCTAACTTAAATCATTTATATCATTTAAACGAATATTTTGATTCCATATATATATATATATATATATATATATATATATATATATATATATATATATTTAAAATCATGGCGCAAAGACCTTTAGAACAAGACTAAATATTGGATATATTTCAACTATTTTGAATTTTTTAATTAGTGAAATCTGTTATTGTAACGAGTGAAATATGTTACTGAAACGAGTGAAATCAATTTTTAAAATTAGTGAATCAATTTTTTAAATGAGTGAAATCTATTATTGGAATTCCCCTTTGATCAGTAAGTAAAGCCCGAAGAATCGAATTCGGCAGGGCAGCCTCTCAGTGGCCGTGGCTCATGCTTGGACATGCAGATGCAAGTGCAGTCGTCGAGGCTAGTCGTCGAGGCACCAGCAGTGATAGTCCGGCTTGGACATGCTGAGGAGCTCCTCCGGCGACATGCGCTCCAGCTCCCGCTGCCTCCGCGCCGGGAATGCCACCGCCGCGCACGCATCGTCTTCGCCCCCGTTCTTCGGCGGGCCGTGCCTCATCGAGCTCATTCTCTTGTACAGCCGCATGGCCGCCACGCAGTCCTCGTAGGGGTGCTGGTGGCCCGTCTGGATGTCGTAGCCGAGGCAGCTCTGTGTGAGGAACCGGAGCGAGTTGCTCATCAGCCTGCCGCTCGTCTTCATCAGCGGCGGATATTCCGCCGTGTCCCGCTTCAGGTACGCCGGGTAGTCCATGCCCAGCGCGTCGAGATCGTGCTCCAGGCCGTGGCCGACGAGGATCCTGGCCGCGCCGCGGGAGGACCTGACCTTCCACGGCTGCTCGCCGTTGAGGAGGATGGCTTCCACCTGCCGCTGCATCATCTTCACCGTCGGCGCGTCCCGCAGGTACTCAGGGCGGATCCCCGTGGTCTCGTACCGGTAGTGCGTCACCGGGAGGAGCGGCCTCACAAAGTTCTCGAAGACGATGGCCTCATTCTCGTCGATGACGCAGACGCGCCCGCAAACGTCCAGCGTCCCGTCGCTGCCGCCGCCCACCATCTTGCAGCCCAGCGCCACCACACCACCGACGGGCACTCTTGGCATGGACCTCGAGGGAACCGGGGCGCGGGAGTGGTGACAGGTTGGGCTGTGGGCGCGGAGGGAGCCGGAGCTAGGGAAGACGGCGAGGCAGAGCGAGCAGCCCTTGGCAGCGAAGGCCGTGGCGCAGGCGGGCTTTGGGGGCAGGGAGGCGCCGAAGCCGAGGTGGTCGCGGAGGGCGTCGAGCGAGCGGCAGTGCTTCCCGCAGACGCCGCAGCGCGGCTCGTGCGGCGAGTGGTGCGACGCGCGCATGTGCTCCACCAGGTGCTCCATCCTGTTGAACTGGCGGTAGCACGCCGCGCACTTGTTCCGGCTGCATGCACCCAACGAACTGAATCATCCATCGTCACTACTAGTAAAACATAGAGCAAAAACAAAATGTGCAAAAACTAAAATTTGGTGGCATGATGTCACAAAACTTTCGAACCGACTGCAGCCTATACAGTAGAGTTATTCAACTGCATGCAAAATGTGTAATGAGAAGACAAATGAAACGGAGCAGGTGGCCAGTGAGTGCACCTGTGGGCATCCGAAGAGCTAGCCATGATCACTCAGTCACCTTTCCTAAGCAAATAAGCAGTGCAGGATGCAGCAAACAGAGGTTGAGATTGGTTGGGTGGATCGTAAGAATCTGTGCACACGGACGGACGGCTATTTATCTGCCTGCAAAACCCATGGCATTCGATTCTTGATGGCGACTTGCCTTCTTCACCAGTGCTTATTACTACAGAGGCGACAAGATGTACTCATCTTTCTTGGAGCATCAAGAACATAGACACCAGCCCCCGAAAAAAAAAAAGAACATAGACACCAGAACGCCCTCATGATACACCAGCTGCTGTATGTAGAAAGGAAAAGAGAGGGGAGAGAGATCAGATACCCTGGTCAACAGATCCGGTTTGAACCAAAAGGCAAGAACAAACTGATGGAAAGATTATCCTATCATTGGCTTTGCTTTAGCGATGGAGGAGAGGCGGAGAGCCGCAGAGGGCCATGGATCCAACCATGGATATCCTAGGAACATACCTTCTGGAGCTAGCTTTGCTTTTGGGGACGTTGTCATCTCGTTCTCGGCGGGGATCAAAGGACGGTCCTGGCCCGGCGCATCTGGTTTGCTATCTTCAGTGACTACAAATCGACGTCGAATAGATTCACAAAACTGAAGGTTCATGGTGAGCGCAACCGCGGCATGTTGGACGGATCTTGTTCAAGCTGAGTTTGGCATGTCATGAGGCCAAAAATAACATATGTTTTCTTCAGTGGACAAAAAATGTGTTTTCTGTTGTAACAACGAGTCTAATGAAGCAAATTCGGTGTTGTAGGTGTTGATTTTTCTTTTGGTAAACATGGTCAAACTATCACAAGTTTGACTGAAGATGCAGTTAAAACTTCAATTAATTTATAATGAAGCAAGTATATGCATAGCTATGTACTCCTGGTGGTTTTGACGATTGTACCTTGAGCTCCTTTACGGTGATTGGGGCAGTACTGGGAGTACTTTCGAGTACTTACCCCTTCGAATTTTATTAGCCGTCCGATCTGGTGGGGGATTAAAAATGAATTAACCTAATTATTTTAATCAAAGAAGGGCATAATGGTCCAGGGTAAAGTATTCTGTTTTCAACCGATCACGTCCACGACGTCTAGATCCAGTCCTCGTTCTCGTCAAGTCCTCGCTCTCGTCCTCTTCCTTCTGTCCGACGAGCCCGGCAAGAGGTACCAACAACGTCGTCGGCGTCGTCCTCGTCCCCTTCACTATAAACAACGTGTCCGGCGGCAGGAAGAAGATTAAGGAGCGACATCTGCGGCGGCAGTGTCGGCGGCGACAGTGGCGACACTATAGGAACTTGCCCCCGCCGATCACATCGCTTCCGGGCTTGCATACTAAGGTATGAATCGCCCGAATCTCAACTCCTCCCCGTTGGAAGTGACTCTTGAAGGAACTCCAACTTCCTCGTAGATGGATCTATACTCTGCGGTTGGCCCTACGGTTAGGCCGCCGGGAGATATCAATGCTTGTTCTGAAAGTAGGCTTGTTTTTCTTGATGCAGCAGGAGATATCAATGCCTATGGGAGATATCGCCATAAACTTACTTTGTTTCGTAGCCTGCACTTCCTACTTAGATTAGTTTAGTCATCGTCGATTTAGGTTTCCCTAGTGCATGCAATTCAATTTAGAATTTTCCATCATCCATGGTCACTTCACTAGTTTATGGGGGACCCAGTTTATGGGCGTTTATGATTGCTTGCCATAACATGTACAGGGAGCAAAGTTTAAAATTCCAAGCAAGATTTCATACTGGGTTTTGCATGCATTTATGTTTGTCCTTTCAGATTTTTATTCGTCTGAATTGTGATGCAGGAAGACATGGCGGATGTAAGTCATGAGTCAATGATGGAGTACTATCATATTGCCAACAAGATGTTTAATAGTGAGGATGAAGGTTATAGATTCTATAACAAATATGGTCTTGAGAAAGGTTTTAGTGTCCGGAGAAGTTATGTCGAGTGGGATGAATCCAACTGCCATATAATTTTAAGGAAATTTGTGTGTAGTCGTGAAGGGGTTCGTGAAGAGAAGCACATGAAGAGGAAGATGGAATATAGAAAGAGGAGGCCACGGAGTATAACTCGTGTAGGGTGTAAAGCTAAATTGGTGATTGCAAGACAGGAGGAAACAGGTCAGTGGTTTGTCAAGGATTTCATCAATGAACACAACCATCCTCTAGCCCCACGGGATATGTCGTGTCTTTTGCGTTCACACAGAAGAATTAGCTATGAGCAAAAAGCGGACATTGCAGACATGGAAAAATTTGGGATCAAAAAACACCATATTATGGATATTATGTGCATGCAATATGGTGGATATGATGAGGTTGGATGCATTATGAGGGACATTTACAATTTCTGCCATGCTAACAAGCAGGAAACAATTTCTTCCGGGGATGCTCAAACGATGATCAATCACATGGTGGCGAGGCAAGAGCAAGATTCAGATTTTTTTCTTCAGGTACTTGGTTGATGAACCTGGCCATCTGAAGGGACTGTTCTGGTGTGATAGTCAATCCCGACTTGACTACGAGGCTTTCGGAGACGTTATTGTTTTTGATAGCACATATAGAACCAATAAGTACAATCTGCCATTTGTGCCGTTTGTCGGGTTGAATTACCACCGCAGCACTGTTATTTTTGCATGTGGTATCATTTCACATGAAACAAGCCAGGCATATGAGTGGATGTTACGGACCTTTTCTGATGCTATGGGACAGAAGCATCCTATATCTGTGATCAAGATGGGGACCTTGCAATGTAGAGAGCAATCAGGATGGTGTGGCCTGACTCAAACCATAGGCTCTGTATATGGCACATTCAGCAGAACATTGTACGCCATCTGCATGATGATGCGGAAAAGGAGGAATTCAGATATTTCATATATGATACATCTTCCATTGAAGAGCATGAGAGAAAATGGCTACACTTCTTACAACGGAATAAAGTAACAAGTGAGGACTCCTGGCTCCATTAGATGTATAAGATGAGAAAACTGTGGTGTGCTCCATATCTTGAGGGTCGTTGTTTCCTAGGATTGAGCAGCAATCAGCGGAGTGAGAGTTTAAACTCGGTGCTACATACGCATCTTGGGGCTAAGATGATGTTATTTCAAATGCTAGAGCACTATGAGCGTTGCCTTGCGTCGCGACGCTTGAACGAGGCTCTCCAAGACATCGAGGCCTTGTAGTCCGTTCCATTCACAGAGGAAAATGGTTCAGTTCTTGCGAAACACGCCGCGAAAGTTTTCACTCCTGCTGTGTTTAAGTTGGTCTTATGGAGCATAGATGATGTCAAAAAATGTGAGATCAGAGAGGTACTTGATGCAGCAGAGGTTACCACATACGTTATATCTAAGAAGGAAAGAATGGATAAAAAGATCAAAGTGCGCACGGAGTCGAAGGAAGGTCTGCTTCGTAGTATCAGCTGTTCTTGCCGCAAATTGGAATGCGCAGGCACACCATGTTCCCACATATTTTACATATTGGGAATTTTACAAGAAGAAACACTGCCCAGGTGTTGTGTTCCCACTAGGTGGACAATGGGTGCAAAATGTGCATTCGCACCGACCAGAAAGAGCGAGATGTATGCATACTCTGCAGCCCTACAAAGGTACTGCGAGCTAAGGAATTTTAGTCACGCGGCATGTTTCAAGGCATGCCACTCTGGTGAGACGTTTCAGCATCTAAAAAGGGTTTTGTAAGGACAAGATGTTTTCAAGGGATCAACAAGTAAACAAGCTGATAGCAAGGGATCAACTAATGCTTAGGGTAACAGCATTAGGTTTGGCCCGCTGATGCCACAATCAGCTAACCTTGATGGTGAAGGTTTCGAAAAGGTTCTGGATCCCGTGCATGTGCCAGGCCGAGGTGCTCCGAAGAAAAGGATGATACGTCTCCAACGTATCTATAATTTTTGATTGCTCCATGCTATTATATTATCTATTTTGGATTAATGGGCTTATTTTTACACTTTTATATTATTTTTGGAACTAAACTATTAACCGGAGGCCCAGCCCAAATTGCTGTTTTTTGCCTATTTCAGTGTTTCGCAGAAAAGGAATATCAAACGGAGTTCAAACGGAATGAAATCTTCGGGAGCTTGATTTTTGGAACAAACATGATCCAGAGGACTTGGAGTGGACGTCAAGCAATCGACGAGGAGGCCACGAGGTAGGGGGACGCCTACCCCCCTGGGCGCGCCCTCCACCCTCGTGGACCCCTCGTTGCTCCACCGACCTACTTCTTCCTCCTATATATATTCATATACCCCGCAAACATCCAGGAGCACCACAAAACCCTATTTCCACCGTTGCAACCTTCTGTACCCAAGAGATCCCATCTTGGGGCCTTTTCTGGAACTCCGCCGAAGGGGGCATTGATCACGGAGAGCCTCTACATCAACTCCATGGCCCCTCCGATGATGTGTGAGTAGTTTACCTCAGACCTTCGGGTCCATAGCTAGTAGCTAGATGGCTTCTTCTCTCTCTTTGGATCTCAATACAAAGTTCTCCTCGATTCTCTTGGAGATATATTTCATGTAACTCTTCTTTTTGCGGTGTGTTTGTCGAGATCCGATGAATTATGGATTTATGATCAAGTTTATCTATGAACAATATTTGAATCTTCTCTGAATTCTTTTATGTATGATTGGTTTATCTTTGCAAGTCTCTTCGAATTATCAGTTTGCTGCCATTCTCGATCTCCTTGCTCAAAGCACCTCTCGCAAAACTGCTTTGCGGGATTGTTCCTTGGTATGTGACTCCTCCAATGGTCCAATTAGTTTTTGTTCTAGTGCTTTATTCATTGCATATTTTTGCTACTTAGGTGACCCTGTTCTTGAGTTTGCATGTCAAATTTATATGGTCAAAAGTAGTTTTGATCATGATATTGCCTCTAGGCACTTGTAGGAGTAGTTGCTATCGATATTGTTGAGTTTGGTTCACTTTTATTTTGAAATTATTAAAATTTCAGAAATTTTTCAGAGGAAGAAATAT